GGGGGGGGGGGGGGGGGGGGGGGGGAGTCGAGAAAACGTTCCTCTGGAAAACCTTTGAAGTTTACGTTACTTCATGTCAGTATCTGTTCCAGGTTCGTTCGAAGTTTTCAAACACACTTGGCTTTGTGAGTTTGTGCCGCTATGCTTGTTTACTTAACTACTGTACGACATTTTCATTCAGCCAGGTACACCATCAAATTGATCAAAATGTCAAATGTATAATAATAATGAGAACTGAAGCTAATTCATTTCGGATATATTAATATACTTAGGGAAATCATTGAAAATGATTACACTTTCCCCCCAGAATTTGGACGTCCAAAGGCGTCCACTTTTCGTTCTAGGGGCGTCCCAGGACGCATGGACGCCCTTCTGGCTAAAAGCCTGCTTCAGGTGCGAAACTTCGGTATTACGGCTGGGAGAGTGTGAGCTTGTTTTGCCGGGCGTGGCCGAAGTAGTTCTCGACGGACCCCCCAGTAATATTTTGAATTCGTAAATTTATCACAATTTTTCCTAGAACTATTACTTTTCAATCCGAGACACACAAATATTTTCAAAATTTGCCCGAAGAAATTGTATGGATATACCCGACGAGATAGAGACTGATGGGGTCCCCCCCCCCCCCCCGGTAGTTTCGCCCCTGAGCGCCTTTCAGCTCTGGCTCTGAGTTCATGGGTTCGAGTCAACGTTCTGCCGAATGTCGTGGATTTTCTCCGGGCGCTCCGGTTTCCTTCCACGGGGAAAGTCGACAGGGTGGGTTAGGATAAACACAGCTAAGAAAGTAATATCACAATTGTTGTAAAGATAAAATAGTCTAGGCTAAGTATGTAATTAGGTAAGCGTATAATACTTAATGTAAAGCGCATTTGATGATATCCACATGTGAATTCGCGCTAGAAATGTTAAGGTAATTCCGCAGTTTTGCATTGCGCACTTTTACTGCGTACATCTTATAACTTATAATTTCATCCATTTAAAAAAAAAATTAAATTTCCTGTGTCTTCAGGGTTCCCTGCGTCTGTAGTATATTTATTTACTTGTATTTCACGTTTTAATGCCACAATTCCCTAAAAAGATCGGTGACCCCCGTTTTTTAACTGATAATTTATTTCTTTAATGCATTTTACATTTCATATCCGAAATTAAAAGAAAAATCATTTCTGGATCTTGAAAAAAAATCCTTTATCAATGCATGTTCTCAAAGAAAGGTATGTAAAGAACTGTGGAAAAGACATTTGTGGATCAGAATTGTACACGTTAGTAGTTTCATTTTTCTCAAAACACAATATTTTTTCAAAAATAATTACAAGATAGGTTTACTAAAGCAAAATCCGCGCAGTTATGATTTTTTTCTGTGTTGGTGTTGTGTACTAAAGGTGAATATGATGTTTGTGATGTTACTCTGAGTGTATATCCACACCGGGCGAGCTTGAAAAATATGCCCGGCCACGGTGGGAATTGAACCTACGACCTTTGGAATACTAGCCCAATGCTCTGCCAACTGAGCTACGCGGTCAGGACGGTTCGAGTAAGTGATATTTCGGAACAGAAGATGATGTTATCAAAGTCAGAAAAAAGTGTTAATTCTTTCCATTATATTAGTAGCCTTGCATTTCGTGACAAAATTGAATTTGCAATCTATTTGAATTGATCTACTGTATATATTCTAGGAAAAATCGTTAATTATTGAAAGCGAATCATATATTTTTCTAAAACACAGCTACGAAATTGCAACGCACCTTGCCTGAAACTTCGGTGACAGCATTTTGAACGCTTGCAGTCCTAATTGGACCAGGGCAAATAGCAGTGACAGTGATTCCTTTGTCGTACAGTTCCGCACGAAGACTGGAAAAATATCCCTAGAAAAGATGACGATAATCAGTATTAATGTAGGTTCAGAATGGCAATGCGATGCAGATGGCATACATGTTGGGTTTTTTCACATCCTGTTTAATGGTCACATTCCCGTTTCATGACTGTATTTCAGGACTAATAAGAGTAATATCACCACTCAACAGCTTGGTTGAAGGATTTTTTGATGATTGGTTGAAGTATTATATTTAGAGGTTGTCAGATTCTTCGACCAAAATGAGAATTGTTCATCGCTATACTCGCTAGCTACACTAGAACCCAATACTCAAAACCTATATAAAGTCCACCGCACACGAGAGCAACTTGCTGAGCTAACTGCCTCGCGAGGCGGTTAGCTCAGCAAGTAAATCTCGTGTGCGGATCGTTTTCGTGATGATTTGATCTCTCGAGGCCTTGAGGAAAATATCTATCGTGTTCAGTTGATATTTTTCACCTCGCGAGGAAAAAATCTCAGCGTCTGCGGATATTGTGAGCTAAGTGCTGAGCTGTTTGAATCAATTAGCCAATGAGAAACCATAGTTTCTTCATGTGACATGGAACAAAATGGAGGAAAATGCAAATAATTTTGTTATTATAATTATGTTGTTGTTGAGTAGTTTTCCCAAGTAATAGACTATAGACTATAGTTTGCAGATTGCAGAACACATTCTTGAGTTGAGGCGAAATAGAAATTAATGTTTTGAAATAAATAACAGTGAATTTCTGGCTGCCTATAAGGCTGGAATGTCTGACTAAGCGCTTCAGAAATTTCCAGAAATGGA